TCAAGCATAATACTCATTAACTTGAGATTATATGTACTTCAGTTTAATTAATAAACAGTGTCTAAAGCTTATTATTATTATAATAACTACAGTAATGTCTACATAAGTGACTGCATGTCCGTTTACTTTGTCCGTGATGCTTCCTCTGCATAAGTTAAAGAAAGTGTGATCCATCGGTGGTACATGATTTGCACAGTTATCTACGGCAAAAAGCCCCAGTTTGTCGTGGAATAGTTCGTTATTTTCGACGATAGATGGCGCTTATTTTTCGACCTTGTGGGGTCGAGACTTATGGTCTCGTCCGCACAAGAGTATAGGGGAGCAGTTTCCCGTCAAGTGCGAATCCGCCGTAAGGCTGCGCGCGCAGCGCAGCAGGGCGAAAGCGCGTCCTCCCAAAAATGCAAGGACGCTCAAGTCACTGCTTGGTAAGAACGTCGCGAAGAAGCACCTCAAAAAGATACAGAGTAAAAACTCCTGTTGCTAGACAAAGACTTGTACGCCTAGCGTGAATAAAGAATACTCGTTATTGTTGTTGTTGTTACATACACGTGTTCAGTTATTTCGAATATTAATATCCGTGGTCGTAGGGGTGGGCCTACGAACGCACGCGCATCATACGTGGAAACGAACCACGTGCATCAAGTAAGCATAAACTCACAACCTGAAACCCTCTGGTGCTAAAATGCTCAAATTTGTCATGGAATAGTTCGTTATCTTCAACGCTAGATGACGGAAGTCGATAAATAAGCTACAAGTGCAGCTCCTCCGACCACCGCGCCAAGCAGTGTGGCGCGGCGACCCCGGTGTGCCCACTGTACGTGGATATACCGCGGAGACCCACGAGGCACCGTCTGGGTAGTCTGCCCACCTAGGCAAGGACGCGCGGCTAAGGGGCAGAGAGCCCCTGTCGTTGCCGAAATCCGCAGGTTGGGCCTAGACGTGGCGCCCCAGAAAACGGAGGCCATGTACTTTCAAAGACTTGGCCCCCGTGGGGTGCCACCGGCCGGCCTGCGGATCCGAGTTGGGACAACCTACGTTGAGGTGAAGGCCCAGATGAAGTATCTGGGCCTGATCCTCGACAGCCGGTGGCGCTTCGTCGAACATTTCGACCGCTTAGCCCCCCGGGTGGAGAGCGCGGCTGTCGCTATAGGCCGCCTTCTCCCGAGTATCGGGGGGCCCGAGGTGGAGTCTGACTACCCTGGCGTGTCTCCCGCCCCTGGAACTCCTAGCTTGGAGAAACCGGCAAGTTTACCGGCACTCCAGGGAGCTCCAGGAGGCTGGGAGACCGCCAGAGGAGAGGAGGCAAGCGGTCGAGGAGACGAGGCGCCATGCTCAACGGACCGTTGTATTTATGTGGTTCCAGCAGATGATTCGGGCTGAAGCCACGCAAGGGTCCGTTGGTGCAGTCCTGCCACATTGGCAAGAGTAGCAGGGCAAACTGGGTAGGCTGTCCTACAGGATAAGACGAGTACTCACCGGGCAAGGTTGCTTTGGTGAGTACCTGTGTCGAATCGGGAAGGAGGCGACAGCGGGGTGCCACCATTGTGGTGGACCCCAGGACACAGCGCAGCACACGCTGGCAGTCTGCCCAGCGTGGGCAGATGAGCGCCATGTCCTGGAACAAGAAGTTGGGAAGGAATCTCTCGCTGGCCACCATAGTAGGAAAGATGGTGGCCAGCGACAGAACCTGAAGGAGGCCGCCGAGTGGGGGCGCGAGCAGGCATACTTCGCCTCCTGGCCCCCTCCAACGGCCTTGAGGTCCGGAGAGACCTCCAGAAGTGGGGCGGCCCGTCTGCATTCTCCGACCACTACGTCGGTGGCCTGAAGGTTGACGGGCCGCCACTGGGGGCTGCAGGTGCTCGGTGCGAGGGGCCCTAGCACCGAAGGTAGCTCCGCGGTCGCGGGCGTCGGGTGACCTGGCGTCCGCGGCGGAGAAATCAGGGGAGGAATGGACATATCGTCCTTCCTCCCGGGATGAGCCTCGACAGGCAAGGCGCGGCGGGGGACTCTGTGATGTCTCATTAGAGTTCCCGGTCCCCCGCCGCAGCGCCGGAGGACGGTCGCCGTGGGGTTTTAGCCGGTAAGAGTCCGGCACTACCCCGAGCCCCCCCTACTTGGGGCCTCGGGGTGTCCATGAGGATTTCCCCACGTACAAAAAAAAAAAAGTTAAGAACATCACTGGCTCTGCACCGCTTAAATATCGAGGGACACGACGTTTATTGTGATATCTTAGGCGGTGTGGTCAGGCCGTACATACCAGCCTCCATTCGACGCGATGCTTTCGACGTTATACATGGCCTGTCTCGCCCCAGTGGAAGAGCCATCGCGAAACAATTGCGTGGGAAATTCGTCTGGCCAGGAATCAAGAGGGACGCACTGCTGTGGACCAGACCATGATTCCGTGCCAACGATCCAAGGTACATCGTCACAATCGCCTTCCGCCGAATCACATAGACGTTCCGGACAACAGATTCGACCACATCCATTTGGATCTCATCGAACTTCCGAAGGTTGGAGATCTTCGATATTGCTTAACTATCATCGACAGGTTTAGCAGATGGCCACTTGCTATCCCACTGACCAACATGTCGGCAGATACAGTCGCATCTGCTTTTTACGTTCAATGGATTTGTCAATTTGGAACGACGCTCACCATCACCACGGACCAGGGACTTCAATTTGAGTCAAGCCTTTTCTCATCCCTCGCTCAGCTACTGGGCATCAAACGCATCAGGACCACATCATACCATCCGCAGTCCACGGGGATGGTGGAGCGGTGGCACTGCACGCTGAAGGCCGCTCTCATGTGCAACTCTCAAACACCTTATCCTGACATGCTACCAACCGTACTTCTTGGTCTTCGCACCACCTACAAGGAGAACCTGAAAGCATCTCCGGCTGAAATGCTTTTTGGTACGTCACTGCGAATACCTGGTGACTTCTTCGTTTCAGACAGTATTCCAGCGGACCCCCAAGCCTTCGTTAGGAAGCTACGGCAACGCATGCAAGCTGTCAACCCGACTCCCACGGCACATCACACCAAGCCCAGGTTGTTCATACTTAATGACCTCGCTACATGCAGCCACGTGTTCAAAAGAGTTGACTCCATCAAGAAGCCACTTGAGCAGCCATACACCGGTCCACATGAGATTGTTAAGCGGGTCGATGACAAGGCCTATGTCATCAAAATCAAGGGAGCGGACAAGACAATCTCCATTGATATGCTCAAACCAGCCTACATAGTCCAATCTGATGATCAACAACAGCCAGCTGACCATTACCAATGTAGGGAGCATAAAGTAACTCCCTAGTTACTCCCGCAGATGGCACAGTTGGGGCCGATGTCAAACGTCGAGATAGAGCTGAAACAGCTGGAATGTCCTGAAACAACTGGGAAATCCTGAAATTTCTTGGAAACGCCGAAAATTCTTGGAAACCCTGAATTTTTAGCAAATTTCTGAGTTTCAGGACTTCCGAGGTGTTCCAGGACTTCCTAGTGGGTTCAGGGAAACCAAGGAGTTTCAGGGAGTCTTATAACTAAGGTAATGATTTGGAGAGGAAAAGAAAGGTAAAAAATGATGAGAACACATAGAATTCTTTGTAATTATATGATTTATTGCCATAGATTTACATTATACAATGTTTTAATACATATATATCATGGCAGAAGTTGTTAACAAGGGTCAGCAGGGGTCAGCAGGGGTCAGCAGAGGCTTGCAGAGGCAAGCAGAGACCAGCAGGGGCAAGCAGTAACATGTAGTAATCGTCACACGTTGTCGGAAGCATCGGTGGTGGTCAGCAGTGGTCAGCAGAGGCCAGCGGAGGCCAGCGGATGCCAGCAGTGGCAAGGAGTGGCAAGCAAAGACCAGCAGGGGCAAGCAGTGGCAAGTTGTAATCGTTATACGTTGTTGGAAGTATCAAGTGTGGTCAGCTGTGGTCAGCAGAGGCCAGCGGAGGCCAGCGGATGCCCGCACATACTGGCAGAGGTTAGCAGAGGCCAGCAGAAGGCAGCAGAGGCTGCGAGAGGCTAGCAGTAGCCAGCAGTAATGGTTATACGTTGCCAGATGTATCAGAAATGATATCTGAAATGATATACATATGTACGTTCATATATAGGAATAATAAAAATGAATTTATTTTTTTTCAATAATTCAAATATGATCAGGGGGTCTTAAAACGTGTATTTCCGTAAGAAAAAATTCACAAAATTTTTTTCATTATAGTATCTTGCTTATGTTCGTCTACATACATAGGTCGGAAAATAAAAAATACCCGGCCAGTCGAGACTTGCAATCGTATGCCGTCGACGTGAGGTCGAATTTCAGTTGTTCAAGTGCGAGAACAAATGAGCGAGAGCAAATGAGCCTTCCTCTCTCGACTCCCACAAGACGGTCCGAAATTACTTCGGGCAGCTTCGGAGAATCGAGAAAGAGGGCATGCGTCAGTTTGCCTTTGTCGTCTTTCCGAAACTCCACGAGCTCACGTACGCGTATCTAGCATGTGCGACGAGTATGCACCCGACGGTGCTTTTCTGGGATCACTGCCCGACGGTGCTTTTCTGGCATCTCTGCCAATATGCAGCGCGGGTTTCTGACCAAGCTGTAGTACCGTCACCGGTCACCATGCGACATGCAGATCTAGGGAGTAGACCATCACGCCACCCTAGGAAACAACTGCTTGTTCCGCGTAAGGACGGGGAAGTCCCATCTTCTTCGTCAAGCACGGAAGGAGAGACGACACGTGTGGCAGTCCGCCGGATTAGAAAATAACTACCGCGGAACTTTAAACGTTAATAAATGATAATTTAAATATGTACATTATACGAAAATGTGTATAATATTTATATTTATGGAACACGTGCCGTGGAATAGAAAAATTATTCACATCTTTATTATTTTAAAATGCTTTTAAATAACACGAGTAGCGTAAAGGTATCAAGGTAATTATTGCTAAAATCTTTTAGCATAAATATAATTTATTTTTCTTATTTGTCTCACAATGTCAGGTCCATATGCAAAATTATCCTTATTAGGTTTAAAAAATTAAGTGATATACACACACAAATCAATGTACATTGTAGGATAACATTTTTGACACATGTTTACAGAGAATCACCTTAATTAGGAGTCAGATGTTCATGCCAGACAAATGTTACAAGTTAATAGTGGTGGTCGTTGAACTTTAGATGCTAGATAATTGTGTCCTTATGTACAATTCTGATAAAAATAATTACGATTCTTCAAACATCAAATGATAACTATCTATAATGATCCATTTACTTTCTTTATATTTATAAACTTTATAAAAATTTTAAAGCATTCAAATTTTAAAAAATTTAGTCGTTTATTTGAAATTTGCATTTTATTACTCGTTGCAATCGTGTTCACGCCAAAGTCATATTTAAAGTAACAACAATATCATCAAGGATAAATCTTTTACAAATTTCATCATTAATGAATAAGATTGGTGAATTATTTTCCAAGAGTTATGTATTTATTCTCCATACGTATTTCCAATCAAGCGCGACAAGAGTTATTAATTGTCACAATGAATGTTGTATTTTTTTAGTTTCAACAGCACACTCGGTAAAAGCTTGACCCATTTTTATTGTTTGTCCAACATTTATGCAAAATTTGAAGTCTTTTGGGCCTTCGAATAACAACACGACAGTAGACCCCATTCTAAATTCACCAAATAATTCTCCCTTACTAATACGTGCACAACCTAAATTAGCATCTTTCCAGTGTTTTGCTTCAGGCCACTTAATGGTATTTGTTTGTAGATCTCTATCACAGTAAACTTTTATGGAGCCCACATTCGTGGCTCCAACAGCAGTGTATGCCATAAAACCGCCAGCCCACTTTCCAATATACACCACACGTTCGTTTAACGAGAATAAATTTGGTAAATATTGGGCTATTTTTGGATTTACACTCAACAGTTTTCCTAAAAAAAATTTTAATTTGCCCAAGTTATACACCAGTCGAAACTATGGAATATTTCGCGTGGATTTAAAATGTATTCGTAAGATTTTAAATGCAGAGTCCCATTTAAAAAAAAGCAATTTGACTTTGATATCTCTCATACCACTATACCTGTAGGAAAATTACTTATACCATTCAATGTCCCTGTCTATATCAAACAATTTTTGTAAGAACACTTTTTTTATAACTTTAAACCCTCACGAAATATTCCATTGTTTCCAGGTAGAAGAATCACCATATAAGATAAATTTATAGAGGCAAATAAAGATAAGGTATACCTTGAAAGTGTCTGCGAAACTCTATTTCCCAATCAGTTGGACTATGAAATCTATGATAATCTCCTGGAGCTAAATAAACTACTAATTGATAAAGTTGATTTACTGGATTTTTCAAAAGAGATTTTACATAAGTATCGTCATCTTCTTTTGTAAATTTTTGTGGTTGATCAGAGGGAATATCACCTAAGAAATGTCTAAGATTGTAAGTTATACCCTTCACTTGTTCCACACGACATGATGTTACTGGTCCAAAATGTAATACAGTTCCATCAGATGGAGAAACCTGTAATCAATTTATACATAAATATTACCACATTTACAATACTTATTTACAACCTATCCAAATAATGAGCACGTACTATATTTGTATGACAATCAATAGGTCTTGCATCAGGTTTAAGAGGTCTGACAAAAAAATCAACAAGACTTGGAAAATCTGATAGACTCAAATCAATTTCATCTAAATTGGCATCAAAAGTCTTGGCATAAAATCCATATAAAGTTGGTCTCAAAACAACTGGTAATTCCAAACTTGCTATCCAGCCCCATATTCTACTTATTATTCTTAATGGCAGATAATAGTAACATTTTACCTATGCAAAAAATTTAACTAAATATTTAATTCTAATTACATATATGGTTTCCTTACCTACATTACATCAGATTATAATATCAATATTTAATTTGCTATTGTAATAAATTTATACCGCAAAAACATTGATTGGCTCATATATATTGGTGTCTTCTCTTGTACGTGGATACTTTTTCAAATGTCTCCATTGCAATATTGCTAACAATGATATTCCAACTCCAGTAGGAATGCTCCATTCCCATTTTACGAACGAATACCAAGGATTAACTTTATGTTGCGTTGTATTTACATTTGAGGCATATCTTCTTAAGAATTTTTGTTTTATTGAAATCTTGAGAAACCCTTTTGTATACATATCTGTACAACATTCGTAAGAGTTTCTTCTAAAATACGTTAATTATTTTAGACATTACAGAATTAAATGACATCAACAATAAAATCACAAACCTCACATGTTGAATAAATCTGGAAATTTTGAAGACAGTCATCTTGAACAGTATACTTTATCAAAAATGTATATTTAAAACTCTCCTGTATTTTCCTTGTACTTTTAGGTTAATTTCAATTGTATACTAATTTCTAGAAAAAATTCGTACACACGACATCAATTTCAAATGTACAATATTTAAAGCATTTTGAAATGAATCTGCCGTAAACGCTTGAGACATTACACAAATCGCTTTTTATTCACTCTTGTCTTTATTTCATACGTACTTATATCAAGTACACGTACATGCGTTTATTGTAAATGTATATTTAACGTTTAATCGTTACTTATGACAATCAGAAACAAAGAAAGTAAGATACAACAAAAGGCTTCATACACCTGATTCAATACAAAAATCACGTATTCCTATACAAAATATTAGTATATACTACCTATAATATGTAGTATGCAGGATAGGTATATACCTATGGTTAGCGGTTAGCTACATGCATGCCCCTATAGGAGAAAAGCCAGAACTATTCATGAATAACATGCCCCTAACAAAAAGAATAAAAACAAGATTAAAACACGCTTGGAACAAAAGAAAACGACTTTATTTATTACCGAGATTCCAAAGTTTGTATGGTCATATATTTTTTAATTGTTTATTAGACTAAATAATTATTAAAACCCTAAATCTACATGCATTAAATATAGTGGAACCGATACACCCACATTACTTGTCTAATATTCAATTCCTCTGCAACACATTAAAATTCAAAATTTAGCAATATGCTACAGGTACACAGCCGATTTTAATACTAGCGTATTTAGAAATACTGATATTACGTATGTAGTGTATATGGGACCCAAACATTTAGTGGCTTGAACATTGGCCCGATCATTTAGCGTTTACCACATTTTTTTTTTTATACGTAGGAAAATCTTCACGAAAACCCAAAGGGGCAAACGTACAGTGATGCCAAACGGAGCTCACTGTGTAGATAAGTATAAAAAGTACCATAATGAAAAAACAAATTTTTCTCAGCGGAAATACGCGTTTTAAACCCCACTGATCATACTGTGACTATTAAAAAAAAAGAAATTTTGTTTTCTGTGCCTATGTATGCACGTACCGTACGTATGCTATTAACATGATTGCGTCTAAACAGCTAAATGAATTTCAATGAAACTTTACATTTAAGTTTTATGTTCTCGTTTCAAGGTACCGTTTTTTAGTTCTTGAGCGTAATCATCTCACAGATAATGATGATTATACGTCTTGTAGTTTATATTTGTAAAAACTTTTTGAAATGTTTTATCTAAATCTTAAGAAGGATTAAAGTCAGAGTATATCTATGTTACCAGTCGAGTAGTTAAGTCTTCTTAAGATTTATACGTACAATATCTTCTATCTTGTAATTGTGTGAACATAGCTAAGTTAAATTGTATAACCATGATCATACTTCATTTTGGAGGGGAAGTGAAAGCTGAGAACTAATGTTCGAATCCATGTAATTATGCGCTCGTTGTAAAACAAAATTGTATTATATTTCTTAAGTAGGATTTGTTCAATAAAGACTTATTTAATTTTCACCTAATCTAAATTTTGTCCTAGAGTTTAATTTCCTTGAAATTGTTGATTTTTGTCATAAACTTTAATCGGCCGAAAATCCGCGCAACAGTACTATGTTTTATTCATAATAACTAGAGTTGTTGTTTAAATGATAATGTGGTGATTCTCTGAACTGCTCTTACCCATTTAAGGGGGTCTTCTACTGTGAAGGCTGTTTTTTTCAGCTTTCTTTCGGAATTTTTTTTGAGGAATAATAGAAACACACACAGTTATAACTTTTATATCGAGTGTATTAATTATTGAACTTTGTTTACAAATTTTTGTAAAGCATAATAATAACAATAATTAGCTTTATAGCACTGGAATGATGACCATGTATAAAAAATGTTGACGGATGGCGCCCATGATTGACGATTTTTTATTCATCTGAAATTGAAAAATCAAATAGCATTTTAATATGTAGATCTATGGCTATCGTGTGAACTAGAATTAAATAAAAATATTCAAATTTGAACATTTGACAAAGCTTTTAAGAAAAAAGTCAATTCTTCGTATTTTTTTTTTCAACCTTTTAAGCTAAAGAACAAGAAATTAGTAAAATATTTCAATTATCCTAGTTCACACGAAAACTAGAGGTGTATGAAAAATGTGTACGAAATTATAGCGAAATCGGTTGAAGACTTTTTGAGATATCGTGGGCGCCGCTTCAAGAAAATGCGTTTCGAGAAAAACGCGTTTGAAGTTCAAGTACGTATGACACAAAGATAATTTTACTTACCATTAATCTGCAATGCCTGGACCATACAGTACACCTTCAGTTTCTTCCTGGAAGTCATGCAGAAGTAAATTTTCTTCTCGATTTTGAATCCGAGATTTTTTGACGAAGTCAGACGATTTTCGTTCGGAGCGGTATAGACGAGCGTTGTCACGGTGCGTCGAATATGTGCAAGAATTGGTGCCAATTTTCAATCCCATTGTTTCCATAATTTTTAATACTCCTTCAAATCCATCGTTAAAAATGATGACTGCCAAAAAAGTAGCTATTTCAACCACCTTATGCCCAGAATGAATATGTTTTGGGGCGAATGTCCAAATTAGGGAATTCAATGACTCGTTATTATTTTGGGTCTCAGCTCCCAAGCATCTGATTAATAAATCATCTTTTGATAAGTCTTCGTAAATCGGCTTAATTATTTCTAAAACTTGACTTTTTAAAGGAACTCTAGAGTGGTTAAAATTCTTGAGGAGTCCTAAAGCTTCTGCTTTACGCCACTTGCACCAGCTGATTTCACCCTTCGGACAATAATCGTGCTGCGGATTATCATCAGAAGAACTGCAGTGATAAAAAGAAGCCCAAATCTCTCTCTTCATATCATCTAATGAATCAGGATGCCGTCGTATGGCTAAGCCATAGAATTTCGTCAATTCACCAATGACTTTTTCAGTAAGTTTACCGTGTCCTTTTCCACCGATTCCCTTGTGATTTTTTTTAATGTTGCGAAGTCTCGTGCCCATCCTCTTTTCCACATGACCTACGCACTCCTTTTTCACAACTTGTTTTTCATTTGTATACGGATTAGCATTCAAAATACCTTTGAATGTTTTGCTATCTCCGTCTCCAATGTATGTTAGGTACTTTACGCCATGTTTCTCCATAGAACGTGAAAACATTTCAATAATACCGTCAATTTCCATTTTACCAGAGCTGCCAATATGATTTATGGAACAATCCTTGTGTTTCGATAACCATTCTTCGTGGAATTGGAGTTTTGGAGTTTTCAGTTTCTCGAAATATCAACAATTGTCGCGTACTGCACCGACTAAGCGAACGTTCTTAGAAAGTTCGTGATTGTTCACATATGTAATTGTCAATTGTCACAATTGCGTCTGATATGAAAAAAGACTCGGTTGTTCATAAGCAGAAATCATAATAAACACAAGTACATGACCGAAGAATGACATAATATTGAGGAGGAACGCACGACAGCACCCGCCACCAGCGCGCTTCGAACACCCATTTCGTTCTACGCCTACAACATCTGAACGGCATCGAATTTCAAAAAATCCATTTAGCCACGTATTCTACATGAGTTTTAGATGTTATTCATGTAAAAAAAAAAAAATGAATTTTTTTGACCCGACACAGTAGAAGACCCCCTTAATGTGGCTTCGCGAATAAGAAGAGGCGTGTGTTGCATGACGTAACATATACGTATATAGAGATCAGTGACTAACAATGATACGAACAAAGGAATTAAACAATGATGCTCGATCAGATGTGGCGTATAACATGCAGTTGATGCAGTCCCGAATAATGTAAACATTATTCGCACGAGTATTAGTGAACTTTATTACATTCGAATGTCTGACAAAATTTACTATAAAGATATAATATAACTATTTTATACATAGCACTGTGATAATATTTATGAAGAAAATTGTTTAAAAAATAAAATGGAGCAAATAGTTACAGGATGGAGACGTTATGCGTTGGTACAGCCATCTCTGATGGTGCTAATATTTGCTCAAGCGATATCAAGTAATTATAATGTACTTATTTTGCACAGTATGCGTATTAATATGTTGTGAATGGTATGTTTAAATTTTAATAGTAACAATGTAAATTGTATAAATCTAGTAAAATGTTTCAAAAATTTTTGTTCATAAAATAAAATATAAAATTTTATGATTAGCAACGTATTAATATATTTATTTAATGTTAAACCGAAATTAATTATTGTAATGATTTTATTTTAGGTAATATTTTAACAGATTTAATAGTATATCGTGTTTGTAAAATAACATTAGGTAAAAATAAAACAGAATGTATGCTATTGCATGAAAACAGCAGTTGTGCAGAAGCATTACAAATAGACTTACAAGTTCAACCTGAAGTAAGTTTAATTTTGATGACAAAAACTTGTTTTGAAAGTATTTTTCCTGCATTTTTATCTCTGTTCCTGGGACCATGGAGTGATAAACATGGAAGGAAACCAATCATTATATCAGGATATATTAGTTAGTATTGTATATTTTTTTTGTTTATTTGTTCTTAATTCTTTGTTACCCAATTTTTATACCTTAGGTATATCACTGATGTATTTTATTTTATCCTTAATGACTGTTTGGGATATCAATCCATGGTTTTTATTAATTGCTTATGTACCTATTGCTTGTCTTGGAGGATTTTGTATAGTATTATTAGGTACTATCTGTTATATTTCTGACATATCAAACGAACAAGATAGATCATGGCAATTAGCTTGGATGGACGTTTTAATATTTGTTGGTATCATAACTGGTATATTGATCGGTCCTATTGTTTTTCAAGCATATGGATATACAGTTGTATTTGGTTGTACCAGTTTATGTTGTACTTTAGCAGGCTTGTATATTTGGTTATTAGTTCCTGATACTATACACAATAGAAATTTAGTATGTATTTTATATTCATCATATTTCAACAATTGTTTTAAGAAATGAAATCTAATGAGTGTTTTTTAATGTTTACAGGTAACTTTAAGTAGCTTGTTTGATTTGAACTTAGTCAAAGAACTTATTAGTACATGTACCAAAAAACGAGATGGATTCAATCGAAAAATAGTTTGGTGCTGCTTAACCACCATTATTTTATTAGTCACAGTCATGCAAGGAGAAATGACTATTGGATATCTATTTACAAATGCTAGACTTGGGTGGGATGTAAATAAATATTCTATTTATACAGCTACTAATATACTGCTCAAAACTTTTGGATTAATATTTGGTGTCAAAATTTTAACAGTATATGCAGGTATAGATTAAAATTTTTAAAATATTACACAGTACATGTATGATGGCTCAATGAAAATGATTAATATAACAAATTCTTTTAGGACTTTCCGAAAAGATGGCAGCTATATTGTCATTATTGTCGAGTATAAGTAGTTCTTTAGTTCAAAGTTTTACATGGAAATCTTGGCACATGTATTTATCTGTAGTTGTTGGAGTATTTAGTGGCGTTACTAATCCTATGTTGCGTACTATATTATCTAAGTCAGTGCCTCCAGAGAATACCGGTAAACATAATTATGTAACTTTAAATTGTATAAATATTGCCATTTTCCATATTACATATGAAATAAATATTGAACAAATTTAGTATAAATGACATCAAGTAACTTTGGCCGTTGATTGATATTAATTTAACTTAATAAACAACTGATCTGCAAAGAAATGTTCATGTAACTATTGAAAACTAAATAACATATAAGGGTGTAAAATGTACTTTATGTATCTTGTATATGGATAATAGTAATATGTATTGCACAATATAACTAACTCTTTTATAGCTATTTAATTTGTAATTTAATAATATATACATATGTTCACAGGTAAGATATTTTCTTTGACAATATCTATAGAAACATTAACTCCACTTATAGCAGCTTCTTTATATGGAATGATTTATTCACGCTTTATGCCACCTTTATATCCATTACCAGTTTGGCTGGTATCTGTAGGAATTTATATTATTGCAATATTCGTATTACTAAACATACGAGTACAAGATAAAAACACTTTGAGGTACGCACCATTGACACAAAATAGTGAGTTATTGTCATAAGATTATACAGATATCTATCGCACAAACTGCAATTTAAAAAATACAATACTAAATAAATTATGTACCCTCTACTTTAATATAAGTATTTAATAATACATATTTTACAAAATATTATTTTTATAATGTAATAACAATATGAAATAAAATATTGTTTAATAACTTTAATCAATTTCTTAAAACAATTTCTTAGGGTATTCTTACTAATATTGTTCCATTAGGCAACGAGTATTTTAAGTAATTTTGATGAATACATTTGCATACAATTTATAATTCATCATAATAGTCAACATGATCGCCTGATTTATATTTATGATCTTTAAGAAGGCTTAAAAGACGGTTAACCGTTTGTTCACTTGTCAAAACAGATTTTTGTGTTAACAAGTTCTCAAATTGTGTTTTAGTTTCCTTGTCACAAACAAAGTTACAAAGTTCATTAAACATATCAGTTTGAACTGGTCCTGGTGAATAATTTAATACATCGACATCTGGATTTTCTAAAGCAAATGCCTATAAAATAAATATATTGTTTATTAACAAAATGTTGTAGAATGGAAATAATTATTGATAGGCATACATTAGTACATATTAATGTAAAATTGTTACCCTAAAAAACATTTCCCGTGCTGCCTTTCCAGTAGAATAAACACATATTCCTTTCCTTGGCTCTAAAGCCATTAATGAAGTTATATTTATAATTGTTTTTTCAGTATTTGTATCCTCGTTAAATATTTTCATAATAACTCCATTTAATATAGCAGGACTAAAAACATTTAAATCATAATAACAACGCCAACTGTCTACGTCAGTCAAATCATTTGCATAATCCGAAATATTTCCCATTGAGCCAACATTGTGCACTATAACTACTCGATCAAATTGCTTTGGAGTCCTATTCTTATGAGATTGCATTATGATATCTAAAAAATACATACATAAAATACAAAAATACAGAATATATATAATATGATATTTTGCGCGTTGGTGTTTGCATGCTTCTCCCGACCGTCTGCCGTTTTAACATTAACATAATGAAATACATTTTTTCTTGTTCATTATCTATTTACTTTAACTATAGTGCATAAATAGCAAAACTATATTGGTGTCCAAAATATTTTTGTAACTGACTCTATATACATACTATGGAATTCATCCTTTGTTGGTTTGCTCAAATCTACACTAATAGTGTCAATAGATACATTGGTAGCAATATTTTTAGCAGTTTCTTTCAAAGCATTTAAATTTGTTGCTAGCAAGACAATATGAGAACCTTCTTCCAGCATTGAACCAAATGATATCGCAATTTGTCTTCCAATTCCACGACTTGCACCAGTTATTAACAGGTATACCTTTCCTGATAAAACTTTGATCGACATGTTTCCACTAAGAGATAAGTTACTATTTTGTTTTTTTGATCAATAAATTTAAATTTACTTATTTTTTAATGATTTTTCTATAATATCCTTGTTTTGTTCGCTTTCAGTAACTACTTGAAGAACATCTGCCTTTAAAAGATGAACTAATTCGCTAGCAGTTAATGCCTAAAATACGGTAAAATATATTTAATGTGAAAGTGTTTTAAAAATAGATAAATAATAAATCATTTGTTTCTATAGTTACTTGTAAATGTGGTACTATGTGTCTTATTACAGGATTTGAAGCTAATTCTGTCTCCTCTTCTGTTTCAAGTCTATGACCAGAAGTTATTAAACGTGCAATATAATCTTCTTTTACTTCTGCTAAAGACGTTACAAGATCTTTCTTTGATGTTCCTTTTTCAAGATTTCTAAGTCTGGAATCTATAATATACTTACATAGAACATACAAATATCTAAGTTTGTACATTGTTTGCTTATTAAACATGCAAAAAGGATAATATTTACAAAATTTTATATAATTTAATCGATACATTGAAAAATTTTATTACCAAAAGTTGATGAATTTATTAAATTTAATAACAGAATATATTTCAGATAAAATAGAGTAGAAATAATGAATTAGTATTATTTCCGAAAAGTGTTCTTTATTATGAAATATGATGAAATACGAAATTGAAGGTTAACATATGTTGTTATCCAATACATATTTTTTAATAAAATTTAAGGATAAATATCACTTACAAAGTTTTGCTAAATACTCCTCTGAATCGGCGAGTTTTGTATGTTCAGATTGATATTCTACAAAAGAATCTTCGAAGTGGTTAATAGAGTTGCTATCGTTGATTCCAGATGTAACTATTCCACACCATGGATCATTAATGTCTGTCTTCATGTTTGACGTGTTTGTAATTTTTTTTTTGTACTTAATTAACCAATTATGTTATGTAACTGATTTCTTTCCATTAATATTTAATACTAGTCTTATTTATCACGAAACACCAGTTTTGTTATCGTTGACAATATTACACAACTTTACTGACATCTATTTAGATTAGGCCCGCAATAGTTAGATAAGAGAGTCAAAAGTTAAAAATGTCCTCAAGCCGATGGCTAATACACGTCTTAAGTGTCAGTGTCATACAAAAAGAAATTGCATTTAATGTGGTAAAACATTGCAAAAGACAAAAACTATATTAATATTGTTAATGATAAAAAAAGAGAATAAAAGACGATAAAAAAAAGCATAATACAATAATTTCATAAGAACTTCAATATCGTATATACATAATCACGTTGCATATTTAATTATAGTTGTACAATGGTAACTAATTATAAACGATAAGACTTATAAGTTATGGACAAATAATAATTAGTCTTAGACAGATCTTATTATTATAGGAGTAATTGTACTATTTATTTTTTTAATCACCAGAATAATTTATCTGTATTTTTCGTATGGCTACTATTTGTATCCGCTAATGATAATTTACGTATGAATCTAATTAACATTAGGATCGTTGGTATCAATATTTTTGTTGTCTGTTCTTTTGTTATAATAATATAATAGATTATTGACTTGTTTTTCGTTTGTATCCATATCTAGTGATGCCACTAGATGTTGATGCCATTGTTCGAGAACTCTAAAAGTGTTACTAAAAATATTGCCGAATATAATGGCGCATTGGTATGAAAATGAAAACATTCTTATTTGTTATATTTATGCAATAGAATTGTTTTACACAATATGAATATTGTTAGTTCCAGCAATGGCGAAAATAGTAGGCCAACAACACCGTCAGAAGAAGATTGCTGTCATAATGCATGTGATCCTTGTATCTTTGACGTTCATGAAAAGTTACTAGAAGAATATGAAAGAAGAAAAAAACAAAATATAAAAGTACAAAATAGAAAAAATTTGTTGTGCTCATTTTCATACAAAAATTTTGTTGTCATTAATATAAAGGAAACTTCGGAATGTTACATTCAACTTCTTTTAAAATATGAAGGTAGACTTTTAACATTAATTTATGAAATTGTATTGCTTGGAATTATTTGTGATATTGTAATGTATCTAAGTACAGGTATTGTTAATAACAATTATTCATATTCTTTACAGAAAACAAATCGAAAAACAATATAAGTTTATTAATTAATCCAGGGCAGCATGTTATGTTAAATTTACAGGATAAGACCAAACCATTCACACCAATTTTTTGGACAGAGGACAGCATTCAATTTTTAATTAGGCTTTACCACAATGGAAAGTTTAGTACATATTTAAGGGATATAAAAGTAGGCGATAAAATTCGTGTCAGAGGACCATATGGGAACTTTGAATACAAAAGTAACAGGTTTGAAATATATAAAAATGTTGAAAATTAATTGATCTGTACCTTAATCACAGCTTACATGTAAACCTATATTTCGAGTATTAGATTAAATTATTAAAAAAAAACAATTGTTGGTAAATAATTAATATAAAGTTACTTAAAAGATATTAATAATATTTCCTAGTTTTCAGAATATAATTATGTTTAGTATGGGGTCTGGAATAACAGCAGTTTATCCTATAGCAAAATCAATTATAGATAATGAACTTGAAGAAACAAAGATTCATCTTATTTGGGGATTTCATAATATATTACAGATACCTTTAAAAAAAGAACTACAAATCTTATCAGATTATTGGAATTTCAAATGTACATTATATATATCACAATTGCACTGTAAGTTATACATATACTCTAAGTGTTCCTTAAGGATAAGTCAAATTTTAAATGTATTATCTACTCATTCGTTAATATGATTGGGTCGAGACTCGAAAAATTTTAGTTTTTTTCAAGATGTAAGTATGATGCTTTTTTTTTATTTTTCGTCTCAGATTTTCTATTTAAACTTTTGGATTCGAAGGTGCTATCATATTGTGTAATATCATACTTGCATCGTGAAAAACCCACAATTTTCGGGATTTGATTTTAACTTCGGGTAATGAAAAGTTTCAGATTTCGATCCGAACCCGAAAGAAAATACTCGAACCAGAAATTTCTGGTACCCGAACACCCTTGATGGTAGTAAGCGTACGAACTAATAATAATTTGCGCTAAATATTTAAAAATTATATCAAATCTTTGAAATTCTTTCTAATGAATTATAATATTTCAATTCATACTGTATACTATGTTTTTTGAATCTGAAATTGTATTATTTTCACTTACAAGAAAACCATGAATTATGTTTCAGACGATGTTCACAATCTTCATGGTATAAATATACAGTTCGGTCGATTAAACAATGCATCAGTTTCTAAACTACTTGAAGATAATATAAACAATACAACATTAATCTTAATATGTGGTACTTACGAATTCAATAGGTCTATTGAACAGTGTTCCAGGTCCATGAATTATACACATATACATGTGTTTGAATGATATGTTAACGAAAGAATTGTTAGATTGATTAATATTTAATATGTAACTTATTTTGAATAAATTTAATGTAAATAAATTCATGGGTTTATGCAACACGATATACTTTCCTGACAGTTTGGACAAGTACCATGAATATGATCAAACATAATATGATTACCAGCAACAGCTTGCAACCACTATAACATAAATGTAATGTTAATTTTCAAGTACTTAGATTATAAAATTCCGTATTAATTTGTAAACATACATTTAATAGACAAGATGTATGAAAATGCCTTCTACATTTTGCATTACTGCAAATTTTATCAGGTATAATTTTATTGTCTAATTCCATAGAAAAACAAATACAACATTCTTCATCTGCAACAATAGCATTTTTATCTTCGATATATACTTTTTCTTCTTTTCGGGGAAATGTATCTATGTTTAATAACATCATTAAATTATCTATGATATTGTATTTTGGATTCCAATACTGAAAAAATGTCACAATATGTAATATTTCTGAATTGTAATATAAAACTATCAATTTCAGTTTAGATATAAATTTTCACAAATTGTTGACTTACATGTAATTTCTTAGAAACAAGACTCCTCTGTAATTCAACTTCAACTTCACTACCCATAAATTTAATTTCTGGCAAATCCATGGGATTCAAGGGACTTACTTGAAGGAACATTGACAAGGATGGTGTTAAATAAATTCGTCGATAAAGATGAGAAGGTTTTGGTTTTAGTGGATCTAATACCCAACATTTTCTAATTATTGAAAAATAATATACCTTTAAAATTAAAGATTTAAAAAAAAATATTTGTTGAAATTAAATAATTCTAAATGCTTACTCATCAATTTGTCTCAAATTTGACCAAGCATTTTCAAGTATCTCCACTTGTAATTTGAATTTATTTCTTGCAATAATCAAGGTTGATAAATTCTTTTCAAAGGGTCCAAAGGCAGGTATTTCAGGCAAATCTGAATGAATAACTATCCAGGGACATGCCCTATACTTTGTTCTTTGTAATGTTAAAGATACACCGTTCATAAATAATTGGATTGTATTTAAATTATTATCAGATAGTAATTTAACTCCCTTTAACAATATAATTATAAACCTTGTATTATCTAACGCTTTTAAAAGATTTTTAAGATAGATTTTAAGATATTTTAAGAAATACAAAAATAAGCTTTGATACATACTGGTGAAGTTTCAAGTGCATCTTTTAATTCTTGCAATAATTCCACCGCTTTATTGTCTGCTACTTCGTGCGAATCATCTTCAATATGAGCATTATTGATGAAATTACTCTGTTTAAGGATATTCTTATTATTAATTGTAACATTAAATCTAAGATAAAGTACATATAATAAATCATTGTCTATGAAGTATATAAATATATATAATTTGTTGTTTATACCATTGCAATTAATACAATAAAAACGTATAGAATATTGTTACACTCACTATAAGTGATTGTAATTGTCTAAGAAATGAAGATACTTTTGTTGCGTTTTGTATTAAATCTTTCACCTTTTGACTAAACTCTATACTACGTATACGTGTAATTTCTTTGCCAAAATTAATGTTCGCATCATGTAACAATGGATAATTCGGAACAATTAGTTTCAATTTTACTCGGATATTTCGTCCTGAATTAGATCGACATGAAACCGCTAAAAATCCTTGCCATGTAACTGGAGTTTCAGAAGTGAGTATCATTTCTGGATGACATTGTACAATAACTTTGTAATCGTCAATGACCATTGTGATTACTAAATTAATTTTCTGTTATCATTATACATACAAAGTGTAAAATATAAACATACATAATGATAAAATTTTAATCAAAGCGAAACTTGACATTGTCTCGACAACTACATACAGTTAGGAACAAAAGTATTGGCACACCTGACTCTTTATTATAGAAACGCATATAAATCAAAGAAAAAACACAGGATTAGATTAACTCTTTTTATCAATTATAACTATTAAGTTTATAGTTTGAGAATATTACAAATATATTTATACTAATTAATTGCAAAACAAAAAAGAATGATAAAATGCACATTAATGGCAGTTTTCAATGAAACAAAAGTATTGGCACATTGAAATAAAATGCTTTTGTCTAGGATCTAGAATGAAATTTTTATAAGGTTGGTACATTGTTCCTTCTCGGGAAACCCCCTGATTTCGATAGCATTTATTTGTTTTCTCGTTATTCAATTGTTTACAAAATCTAACGTGAAAACGTGCAAAATGGAGCGCAAAGGCAAAGAAACGACTGTTGCTGAGCGAAAAATTATTTTACATTTGTTTAATGAGGGGCATTCATACTCGTCTATAGGAAATATAGTTAATAGAAGTCGTTTTACAATTAGAAGTATTATTAAACGGTTTTCTAACACAGAAAATTTTGTAAGTGCTCCGCGATGTGGTCGACCTGAAAAATTGAGTGCACGAGAAAAGAGAAAAATTATTAATATTGTAAAAGGAAAACCATCTAGTTCTGCGTCAGAAATAGCGGCAAATATAAACGAAAGTTTTAATAAAGAAGTACATAAAATAACTATTCGACGAATATTAAACAAGGTAGGATACCGATCGCGAGTTGCTAGACGAAAGCCTACTATAAGTAAAATTAATCAAGAAAAAAGATTAAAGTTTGCAAATGATTACATTAATAAAGAAAACGAGTTTTGGGATACAGTGCTCTTTTCTGATGAGTCTAAATTTAATATTTTTCAAAATGATGGACGCACTTTAGTTTGGAGACAATCTAATACCGAACTAGACCCAAAGAACATTCAGAACATTGTTAAACACGGGGGTGGTGGAGTGATGGTCTGGGGTTGCATGAGCTCAAGTGGAGTCGGTGAGCTTGTTTTTATTGATAATATAATGGACAAATATGTCTATTTAGATATCTTAAAAAATAATCTAAAAAAAAGCGTGGAAAAATTAAATCTTGGGAGACAATATGTCTTTCAACAGGACAATGGCCCCAAGCATACCGCTTATTTGGTACGGCAATGGATAGTTTTTAATACCCCACATTCCTTACCAACCCCACCGCAATCCCCAGATTTAAACCCGATCAGAGATGCCAGAAAAGCACCGTCGGGTGCACACGCACACATGCCAGATACGCGTACGTGAGCTCGTGGAGTTTCGGAAAGTCGACAAAGGCAAACTGACGCATGCCCTCTTTCTCGATTCTCCGAAGCTGCCCGAAGTAATTTCGGATCGCCTCGTGGGAGTCGAGAAAGAAAGGCTCACATTTGCCTTCTCGCTCTAAACAACTGAAAACCGACCTCCCGTCAACGGCATACGATTTGGATTCTCGAGCCGAGATTCTCGACTGCCCAGGCATTTTTACTTTCCGACCTATGTAGGCGCACATAAGCAAAGTACCCATAATGAAAAAAAAATTTTGTAAAATTTATTTTACGGAAATACACGTTTTAAGACCTCCTGATCATATTTTAATTATTGAAAAAAAAGAAATTTTTTTTATTAGTCCCATGTATGAGCGTACATATGTACATATATTATTAATACGATTTTTCAAAATCAAAATACTTTAAGATTGAAAATTAATAAATTAAAATGAGATTCCACTCTTTACCAGTATTGTGCACGCTGTGGTATTTTTCAATAAGAAGAGTTCTTACTTTTATAACATAAACAAAACAGTAGAATTAATAATTGCAGAAATTAATTAATAATGATTTTCCTCGATTGTTTTGAGATAACCGTATCAATTTGTTATGACAAACTAAATAGAACTAACTAGAAACAAAGGAAAAGTGATCCCGTTTGCCAGTATGGGTTGTATCTTAAATTTTAAAAGGACATAGTCGAATATTTTTAAAGGTACAAAACATAGCGTTTCATTGTAGAACAGTAACATAAGTTAGCAGGTAATGTCATAAAACTGTTTTTCCCAGCTATATCCCTTTTTACCTGAAGTATAAGGTAAAAAGTACGAGCTACAAGGTACGACTATCCGAAAATCGTTCACATTTTATCAATGTAAATGAAGCGGCCTTTCCATCAGAGTTAAATACAAAATTTTGTTATTTCTGTGAAAACAGAACTTTCATTAGATGTAGGTGGTGCTTGAAATTGTTATGTTTTCACTGTTTTTACGAAAAGTACCATCCAGATTCATGTACTTCGTACATTGAAAATAACATATGTTAAATGTAATTGGTTAAATTCAACTTTAAAAAAAAAATATTCGAAGGTCAGACAAAAATATAATGTCACATTTAGTGTACGATTAAAATATGATTGAAAAAATAAAAAAAAAGGATTTGTTTTGGCAGGGTTTGAACCTGCAGAGCAGAAGAAGCTCGGAACTTGCAAGCAAATACCTTGTCATTCACGCCACGCTGGTTGTTGAATGTATTTCTATTTCTGAAGATAAGTATCTGTAATAACTTTAATAATATCTCAAAGTAAAACCTAACCCAAAATCGGGTACCATTCCAACTTTTCCTTGTTAGAACCGAGTTTTCAATTTGTCTTAGCGAAAATCGTAATCACATTTTGCACATTATTCTAAAACATTTGTGGTATTCGTTTTCAATGCGATTTAAGTAAGCATGTAATGTATAAGATTTCATTTAATTTTTTCTTTTCTAGAGAAGATAGAGAAAAAGTTTATATAATTTTTTTTATATGTAAGGCGTCGGGAAAAGGACCGCGTCTGGCCTTCGTCCGTCAACACTCCCACCCCTACCGATGGGGGAGAAGGCTGACGACAAAGGCGAGGGTCTAGGCCCAGGACGGGCTCATTTGTTTTTCCGACGCTGAAAGAACGGGAATAAAGCATGTATACGAATACCCTGCGTATTTCTTAATTCCTAATTCCATTCTACGCGTCTGTATAACATATATAAAATTTAATTCGTCCTAAGATTTATATGAAACATTTAAAAGATTTTTTATACATTATGCCTATACATATATCGGAACAACTATGAAACAAGAGGTATAATCATTATTATCCATGGACTGATTATAGTCAAAGTCTAACCGGACTTTGAAATGAGAACATAAAACTTAAATGTAAAGTTTCATTTAAATTCATTTAGCTATTTATACTCAATCGTAATAATAATATACATATGTGTGCTCATACATGGGAATAAAAAAAAATTTCTTTTTTTTCAATAATTAAAATATGATCAGGAGGTCTTAAAACGTGTATTTCCGTAAAATAAATTTTACAAAATTTTTTTTTCATTATGGGTACTTTGCTTATGTGCGCCTACATAGGTCGGAAAGTAAAAATGCCTGGGCAGTCGAGAATCTCGGCTCGAGAATCCGAATCGTATGCCGTTGACTGGAGGTCGGATTTCAGTTGTTAAGAGCGAGAAGGCAAATGTGAGCCTTTCTCTCTCGACTCCCACGAAGCGGTCCGAAATTACTTCGGGCAGCTTCGGAGAATCGAGGAAGAGGGCATGCGTCAGTTTGCCTTTGTCGTCTTTCCGAAACTCCACGAGCTCACGTACGCGTATCTAGCATGTGTGAGTGTGCACCCGACGGTGCTTTTCTGGCATCACTGAACCCGATCGAACATCTCTGGGCTCATTTAGGAAAATGTATTAAAAAACATAATATAACAAATAGACAACGATTGAAAGAAATATTGATGACAGAATGGAATAAAATAAGTCCCGAAATTACAAAAAAACTAGTGCATTCCATGCCAAATAGATTGAAAGCCGTTATAAACAATAAGGGATTACACACGAAATATTAAATTATATAAAATACATAATAATATACCATTTATTTGTAAGCGTGCCAATACTTTTGTTCCATTAAAAACTGCCATTAATGTGCATTTTATTATTCTTTTTTATTTTGTAATAAATTAGTATAAATAAATTTATAATATTCTCAAACTATAAACCTAATAGTTGTAATTACTAAAAAGAATTAACCTAACTCTGTGTTTTTTCTTTGATTTATATGCGTTTCTATAATGAAGAGTCAGGTGTGCCAATACTTTTGTTCCTAACCAGAGATGCCAGAAAAGCACCGCCGGGTGCACACGCACACATGCCAGATACGCGTACGTGAGCTCGTGGAGTTTCGGAAAGTCGACAAAGGCAAACTGACGCATGCCCTCTTTCTCGATTCTCCGAAGCTGCCCGAAGTAATTTCGGATCGCCTCGTGGGAGTCGAGAGAGAAAGGCTCACATTTGCCTTCTCGCTCTAAACAACTGAAATCCGACCTCCCGTCAACGGCATACGATTTGGATTCTCGAGCCGAGATTCTCGACTGCCCAGGCATTTTTACTTTCCGACCTATGTAGGCGCACATAAGCAAAGTACCCATAATGAAAAAAAATTTTGTAAAATTTATTTTACGGAAATACACGTTTTAAGACCTCCTGATCATATTTTAATTATTGAAAAAAAGAAATTTTTTTTTATTCCCATGTATGAGCACACATATGTATATTATTAATACGATTGAATATAAATAGCTGAATGAATTTAAATGAAACTTTACATTTAAGTTTTATGTTCTCATTTCAAAGGCGTGTGGACGGATTCAAATACGTGAACACTAAACGTAACGATGTAATTAGATTGTTTAATATTTACTAACTATTTAACATAAAGAACATAAAAGAAAGACATAAAACGTAAACGTAAAAGATCATAAACGTAAAACTGTGATTGCTCTCGACTAACGTTCGATACAGAGTGACGTTCCTGCAGTCAAAGTCGACCCTTCCTTATTCCTATCTTATAATAATGATCTAAACAAAACGCACGTTCGAGACGCAGTCTCTAAAACGTATTTCAGCTTAAACCTAAACACCTCACTCGATACCTACT